CTCAAAGTGAGTTGCACAAAGAAGGATCCCTTACTGAATGATGTCCTCTTTTCCTACTGGTTCTAGGGAAGAGAGGGTGGGGTGATATGGTAGCATTATTTGATTTGAATGTAAACATTAACAGAATAAATTGTGATTGTGAAAAGCTGTAATTGCATAACATGTAAGACACACTGGTAGGAGAGCCATGTGGTGAGGTGACATTAAAAGAAATTAGTGGGTATAAGAATGGGGCATCTCAGAAGCAGGAAGAGAGAATTCCCAGGACCTTCAAGGAAGACCAGCCACCAGGGAAACGTTTTAAAATCCCTGCCTGAAGTGGTGGAGGCTGCAGCAGCCATGCCATTCAGACTAGAGGCCAGGGCAAGGAGACAATGAGACAGAGCACCGAGCAGCACAAGGCTGTGAGGCAGAACAGAGGGCTGGCTTCCTGGCGTAAGGAGGTAGAGTCCAAGGGACTATGACTCAGAGGCTAAGGACCAGAGAGATTTGGTTGCTGACTAAGGACAGGCACTGTCATGGACCAATGACTGTATCTTTTATGATCTTGATCTTGGCTTGTGGGTTGTCTGTAAATTCTGAGCGGTGATTGCAGTGGATTATCAAGCCCAGCATAGAAATCAGGAGCTGAAAATAGAAATGGTAGTGGAAATTGCCATACTGAGCACTAATGAACCAAGAACCAGAAGCATGTGGGATGACATTGAGAATATTATACCCGAAGAAAAGAAAAAGCAAAACATTAAAAGACAAGAAAGAGGATGGAAGAAAAACAAAGATCAGAGTGGATGTCAGATGAACTTGCAAGTTGCTCTAAAATGTAGCGTAGCTAAAATGAATGGAAGAAATGGTAAAAGAGCTGAACAGATTTCAAGGAGACCAAGTAAAGGATTATAATGAAATATGGAGAAACCTGGAGTTATTGTCCAGAAGGAAGAGCATGATCAGCATATCTTAAGATGAACGAAGGAAAAAAATAATCAAACCTCAGAATATTGAAGGATTTTATGGGCAAAATACTAAATAATGCATAAAGTATCAAATGAAGGTTAGGCAGTGCACAGAGTCACTGTATCAAAAAGAATTGATTAACATTCATTTCAAGACGTGGCATATAATCTAGAACTGATGATGCTAAGGACATTAATCAAAAATAAGGCTTCAGAAATGTACAGGCTACAAACTGATCCAGTGCTGAAACGCTAGTCTGTGCCAAGAAATTTGGAGACAACTACCTGCCCAACTGACTGGAAGTTACCATACATACCCGCATTTAAGTGAATATAGATATATCAAACAATATAATTACAGTAATATCACATACAAGTAAAGTTTTGTTGAAGACCATTTTTAAATGACAGCATTACATCAACAAAAAGCTGCCAAAATTTCAGGCTGGATTCAGAGAGGACTTGGAATCAGGGATATCATTGGTGATGAAAGGCTATTTTGGCTAAAAACAGAAAATATATTAACAACCTACTATAAGCAGATAGTATAGCTTTGCTGAAAGCGAAAAGGACTTGAAGTACTTGCTGATGAAAATCAAAGATTGCAGTCTTAGATATGGTTTGCAATGGAATAGAAAGCTGGAATCTTCACAACTGTACCAATAGACAGCATTATGATAAAGAAAACATTGAGTTGTCAAGAATTTAATTTTATTTGGGTTCACCATCAGTGCTCACAGAAGCAACCGTCAAGAACCCAAATGAGAGGGAAGGAAATGTAAAAAATGTTTTACAAAAGGAACTCAGGTGACCTGTTGCATTGGGCAAATCTGCTACAGAAGACCTCTTTATAAAGTATTAAGGACAGAGATGTCACACAGAGGACCAAGGTGGGTCTGACCCAATCATTGGTATTTTCAGTTGCCTCATATGCATATGAAAGCTGGACAATCATTAAGGAGACCTGCAGGGGGAAAATTATGCATCTGAATTATGGTATTGGCTAAGAATGTTTAAAGTACCATGATCTGCCAGGAAAAAATACCTGTCTTGGTGGGAAGTACACAGCCAGAATCCTCCTTTCAAGCAAGGACTTTGTCACAGTTAGTGTGGACATATTATTGGGACAGGATAGTTCCTGGAAAGGGGGAATCAAAAGAATCAGAAGAAAATATAGACCTTATCTTGAAATTAACTATTTGTCATTGAGTTGCTTTCAGACATGTCAACCCCATGTCAGAACAAGGTGCTTCTGGGTGACTTGCACCTTCATCTTTTCAGTTAGCAACCAAGCAAGTTTAGTTGGTTGCTATGCCCAGGGAATCATTATTATTAAATCTATAATCCTTAACCCTCATAAGTGGAGATTAGAAGTGGATGGATGATTTTGGAACGGACTAGAGTGGAACAATTAGGGCGGAGTGCTATGCAAAGTTCTAGGAAAATCAAAGTGAGCCACACTGGGTGTAATGCAGACACAAGGAACTGAAAACAGATTTTGGTTAAAAGTGTTGGAAGAAACCGAGTCTTCACCACTCAGGTACCTAATCCTGTAGGAAACAGAATGAAAGAATCTTCTGCCTCCTTTCTCCCCAGCATAACAGTCCTAAGTAAACTGAAGAATAAACCCAAATCAAGCCCACTGCCACTGGCTCATTCCTAACTCATGATTATATAGATTTTCTGAAAGTACATGTTTATGGTAGTAGACAGCTTTGTATTTCTCTTGAGAGGCGGTTGGTAGGTTTGAACAACTAACCTTTTGGTTAGCTTGATACCTAGCCACCAGGACTCATTCAACTGGAGAATGAAGGAGAAACTCATCATGCCAGGATGGGGCAGGGAGGACACAGAACAAAAGGCGATGTTAAGCATTTTGAGCTCTTTTTAGACAATTAACATTTAATTGGCATGTTAGTAAGGAGTACATTAATTTTAAGGTACAGAAATGACTGTGCTTAAGTAGAATCACTATAGTTCTAGAGTTTCTTATTGGAGTATGCTTTACTTACCAAGTCCTCTTATTTTATTTTCATTGTTAAAACCGTTTTTCTTGTTAAATAAGAATCACAAAGTTTGATTTAGTATGTTTCAGATAGCTTTGTGTGGTGGTTAAGTGCCCAGACTTTGCAGCTAATTGGATTCGTTTCAGTTCTACATATACTGTATGTGTGGACTTGGGCAAAGTATTTATTTACCCTCTTATTTCTAGGCCTCTTGTGATAGTTGTGAAAATGATGAGGCTTCTACTCCCTAGAAGAGTTAGTCTTGGAAACCCACAGGGGCAAATCTCCCCTGTCCTAAAGGAATGCCATGTGTCAGAATTGACTCAGTGGCGTTGTGAGAGTGTGATGCTTGAGTAAAAGACATAAAACTATGAGTTGCTAGTGCGTAAGAACTTTTCCTAAGTAGTAGCTCCTATCATATTTGTAATCCCAAATTAATAGTAATGTTCCAAATTTAAATGAAATTGCTTCCTTTCGGTGTTCTTGAATTTAAAATTGCTGTTTTCGTGGAACAGTCCTGATGTAGTAGGTTAAGAATTGGGAGCTAGCTACAACTTAAATGGTTCAAACACACTAGCCACTCTTTGGGAGGAAGATGAGGCTGTTCAGTTAAAATTCTAAAGTCCTAGAAAACCAAAGAACAGTTTTACCCTATCCTCTAGGGTCATGAGTTAGAATTGACTCGATGGCAATTGGCAGCTGGGAGTTGTTAGGTGCAATGGATTCAGCTCTGGCACAACAGAAGGAAACACTGCTCAGTCCTGTGTCATCCTCAGTTTAAGTTCCAATCCTTACGCTGTTTTCCTCATATAGCCACCAAAACCAACTGATTTCACTCTTGACTACATCAGTTCCAACTCAAAGTGACCTATATAGCAGTGGTTCTCAACCTTCCTAATGCCAAGACCCATTAATATAGTTCTTCATGTTGTGGTGACCCCTTAACCATAAAATTATTTTTGTCCCTACTCATAACTGTAATTTTGCTACTATTATGAGCGGGTGACCCCTGTGAAAGGGTCGTTCAATCCCCCAAAGGGGTCGCGAGCCACAGGAACTGCTGCGATTATCAAACTAAGTCTTGATGGAAACAGACAGCCTCGTCTGGATCTCAGAGCATCTGGTGGGCGTTAGCCACTGCCTTGAGGTTAACAGCCCTAACACCTAGCCCACACAACCACCAGGACTCTCTTCACCTTTTACGGTACAACCCAAAATGTGTTCAATAGTACAAAGTCCCTTCAGGTAGTCTTTGAAAAATGTACTCCTAGTAAAGTACAATGATTTGGAAGTGGTCTAGGGCTGATAAAATTAAAATCTTAGAAACATAAAGGAGCAGTTAGTTCTACTCTGTCTTGTAGAGTCGCTATGAATCAAATTCAACTTGACGAGTTTCTTTTCTTTTCTTAGAGGAGACTAAGATGCTTTGGGCTTGAGAAATCTTATTAACCAAGTAATTTCTTTTGTATAATGAGTAAACTTTGACTGCTAACTAACTACAAGGTTGGTGATTCGAGCCCATCAGCTAAGAGAGAAAAGTTGAAGCTATCTGCTCCTATGAAGATTCGCAGCCATAGAAAGAGTCAGAATGGACGTGATGGCAGTGGACTTCGTTTTGCTTTGTTTGCATAGTTTTCAGATCTTACCCCATTTTAATGGTTCTGCACACTCCCAACGGAACCCTGCATGCAAAGCTGCCAGTTTAAGCTCAGCAGTGTCTATGAAGGAAAAGCAGTCAGGCGATCTGCCTAAACAGCCCTAAGGTGGCCTGTGCATGGTTGGGTTGGATTTTGATTGTACACTTTCAAAGAACATATTCCATTACATTCTTTGGAAAGAGAAACAGGTTTAATGATGATGATTGCATGTGCTGAATAACAGAATCGTGGGTGATATTTTGGGTTCATACATAACCATGACTTTCAGTGTTTTATCTGCCTGTGTATGGAATAAAAGTTTTTATGAATAAAAGAAGGTTATTTTAGATCTCACTAGACATATTAATATAAATTGCTAAGATATTTTTATGCATTTTCTCATTTAGGACAAAACTTTTGGTCTAAAGAATAAGAAAGGAGCAAAGCAACAGAAGTTTATCAAGGCTGTTACTCATCAAGTTAAATTTGGTCAACAAAATCCACGTCAGGTAAATACATTTTAAGTCTTTAGGTATTTTCATTACATAGATGTTATGTGTCATCTGTTTCATGTAAGAATATTTAATACTATAATTGTGTGTCAAATGGAATTATAAACTATAAACTTTTCTGCAACTTACTCGTAATTAATACCTGTAGATATTCCTTCTGAGCTACTTGATACAGCTCTTATTTATTGTAAAGGTTGTATGTTCCAAAACATGGATATAATATACCTGTATATTTTGCTGTTCAAAATAACTTTTCAGCTCTGTCATGAAGTGAAATTCTTCAAGCAGTATTCATTCTACATGTGTTCTGACTTTTTTGCTGTGGCGTAAATTATTTAGTAATGAGATTTCTAGGTCAAGAAAAAATGAATTTCTGATTTTAATAAATATTGCCTGATCACTTTCCGAAGAGGCTTGTAGTGCTTCACTTTGTGGTAGTGCATTCTTAAGTACTAAAATTATTTTTAATGTTTCGATCTGAGAAACAAAGTGTATTTCATTATTTTCCTTAGTATATTTCCATTTGAGTGATTGGCTATTTGGATTTACTCTACTAGGACTTTCTTATTCATCGCCTTTGCTTTGGGGTTGTCAGTCTTAATGGCAATTTATGGAGTTGACAGGGTGGAACTATAGAACTTGTGCGTTTTAAGCATGAACCTGCTGTAGGTCATTAAGGCTTATTTATCAAGTACAAAGATAGACTGCATCTTATTGAACAATTACTGTTTGATTTCTAACTGAAACTTGAGACAAATGGTATGTAGAGTTCCATTGTACTCTTGCCCTGGGTCCCACATATATTTAGAATGATTAATGTACCCCAAAAAAAGTTCTATGAAAAAAATTGACATGCCTAAGTTTTTCTTTTGTTTAAAGAAAAACTCTCCCAGTTTCCTAATTAAGCATCCACAATGTGGTCTTAGTCTCGGGATTTGGGCTCTCTTAACTACCTATGACATTTGGCTATTTCCTTCCTAAAATTTTCTCTTCTTTTTTTGTTTAAATTTTCTCTTCTATAGACACTTTTGTCCTGGTTTTCTATTTCTTTGATGTTTCTTCATCTGTCTTAATCCAGAACCTTCTCTCCAGGAATCAAGATCGATATCTAGCTGCCTTTTAAATTGTTCCACCCAGATGCGCTGCACGCATCTCGTACATGCTCAGTATGTCCAAAACTGAGCTCATCTCTTAGCTCCCACCCTGGAACCTGTTCCTCCTGTAGTCCCTGTCTTCTTCAACAGCTTGAACTATCCACGTGGTAATCTTAGATGTTCGGTCAACTTCATGTTCAGTCACTTCGTTCTATCCATTCTGCCTCCTAAAGAGCTCTTCCAGTTCCTTTTTCTCTGTGTCAGTGGTTCTCCGCCTTCTTAATGCCGTGACCCTTTCATACAGTTCCTCATGTGGTAGTGACACCCCCAACCATAAAATTACTTTGTTGCTACTTCATAACTAATTTTGCCAGTTATGAATCGGGCGACCCCTGTGAAAGGGTCGTTTGACCGACCCACAGGTTGAGAACTGCTGCTCTATGTCATTCACCACCAGTGTCTATTCTAAACTGTTGTATTTTCATGCTTGTAACAAGTACAATAACCTCCGAGCCTTTCCTTTCACTTCTGGACTTCCTCCAGGAAGTCTACTTTCCACAAAGCTGCCATCAGATATGTATAAGAGACAACCTGGTTATCAACTTTCTTTAAACCTTTGAGTCATACCTATCATTTACAGATAAAATCTCTGATTAATGAAAGTCTCTGAGTCACCTTGTGAAGTTCTGATCTTACACCATTGCTTCAGCATCTTCCTCTTACTTAATCTATATTCCTTGTCTTGCATATCAGAGCTCATCTAAAGGTATCAGTTCCATTTAGTTTATTCAGGCACACTGGCATTCTTTGTTCCTAAGCCTTGTGTGTGTCAGTAATGGCACTTAGCTCACAATATATTAGAGTTGTTGATATATCTTTCTTCACACTAGATTCTGAGCTTATAAGCACCTTTGGAGTCCTGTCAGGCCGCACACTGGGAATAGTGGGGATGTAGGCTAAGAGATAAGTAGCTGCTATAATACCATTGAGACACTGTGTCCGCCAGTGAGCGGAGTGGCTCCACCCAACACTCAGGAGACCTGGTGCTGTGAGAGGGTCTGCCACAGGCTGTGCATGAGCTTGTTAGCTATTACTACCAACATGGTGAGCAGAGTGACCTTCTGGGTCATCTTCATTCTGAGTTATGTCACTAGTTACTACATGCACACAGGCAACTAGCTGTTCTTGGTGCTGAATGTGCACATGCAGGACAGTCTAGAGCAGTGGTTCTCAACCTTCCTAATGCCGTGACCCTTTAATACAGTTCCTCATGTTGGGTTGACCCACACACCCATAAATTATTTTCATTGCAGTTTAATTACTGTGATTTTGCTACTGTTATGAATCAGGTGACCCCTTTGAAAGGGTCATTCCACCCCCAAGGGGGTCACGACCCATAGGTTGAGAACCACTGATCTAGAGAGAGACTCGCACATAGGCATGGACCACCCCATGTATACCACCCTATGTTACACAGACCCCAGGGCACAGGCCTGAAGATGCATGCACACAGCATGACAAACAAAACGGCAACAGATGCATACAGGATATTGCACAGATGCTCCAGACCTTGCAGAAGGACACATGAACAAACGGCATGGGTACTCAGTGGGATACATGTGGATAGATAAGCATATACTTGGCACATGTGAAATGAAATAAAAATGAAAGCTTGTGTGTTAAGAAATAAGAACTGTGCGAAAATACAGGGAATCCAGGGTGGATGAGCCCTACAGAACCAGTGGTATGAGTGGTGAAACAGGGAGGGTAAAGGGAGA